TTAATTAATAGTGGATGAATTAAAACAAAGTGTGTATACTCTCACCTCTATAGAGTACAAAAACAACTCATCAATAATCTCTTATTCTAATGTGATGCATTTTATTAATTATTGTATGTAAAGTGTGTTCCTGCTGCTTGAATTCTTCAATTAACATTTCACTAGTGTCTTTATCACGTTTTGCTTTCTCTTCTGATCTCAAAACCTACAAACACACAAACATTAGAACATCATATGTAACTGTCAATTCATCAGGTACCATGTATAATCAGTCAATGCCTTTGATGTACATATGGTCAAACAAATATGTTGACAACAGGGAGCATTAAACTTATTTTTTATTGCTTCAAGTATTGACCACTGCTCCATTTGAAGCACCAGTTAACAACTGTAAACTAAGGCTGCGTTTACACAGCAATGAAAACTATGCAATCTGTAGAGTTTTGTGCCTGTTTTATGGTTCTGTTTACACAGAAACGAATGAAAATGTGATAGAATCTTGATAGGACTCTATGGAAACAAAAACGGTGTTGAAAGTGTATTGTTTTTAAAACGATCTGTTTTGCGTTGCTGTGTAAATGCAGCCTAAAATTTCCCCTTGAATAAAAGTGCCTAAGTCTTTCTAGTCCAGGCCCTTGCTTGAGCATATAAGCAAAGGTACCGACAGTTGCTCTTATATTTACTTTAATAATATCTTTTGATGTTGTCTTTCCTTTCTTCCAATGATCACCAGTACTTAGTTTGATTGGAGTGCACCGGTTTAGTTCAAGTGATATTTTATGAGGATGGGCTGGTGATGTTGAATGATGAGTTTTCACTGTAATACTATGATCAGTAAATGTAATAGAACCTTGAATGAAGAAAAGAAAAAAATAGGGAGAGTGATTACCTGTAATAGTTAATGAGTCTAATATTTACCTTCAGTCCAGTGCAGTGTGTTTGAAATTTGAATCAACAACTTTTGGTGATAATACTAGTCGTCCACTCTTATCCTTAAAAAAACTGGAGATTGTATGCCATACCTGCAGGATAGGATCAGGAATATAAACGTGTATTATGTTTTAAAAACTCATGTTTATAAGATGCAACACTGATTCTGAGCAATAATTTTTCCATATATCATAATCATATCTAATACAGTGGCATACCGTAGATCGGGAAATTTTTGTTATTAAAATATTTTTTCGGTTGAAGTTACCCAAAATTTTTGACATTGACACACAAAATATTTTAACATGCAGTGGTGGACGCATGAGGCCCTTCTAAAAGCCCAAAGAAGGCCTGAAGCTCTCACCCAAGAGGCTTCTTTTTAGTTTCAGTGCTGCCATGAGCAACTTCAATTGAATAGCTGTCCATTCATCATCAAGAGTTAGTAGCCACATGTCCAATTTATGACACATCCAAAATTTTTCATGTTAAAAAAAACTTTGCAGATGGGTCAACCAATGAAAATAAAACACTTTTAAAAATTTCATACCAATTATTTTTAACATAAAAATTTCCCAATCTACAGTAATTGTAATTGTTAATGACAGGTTTGTAATCGTAATTGTAATCATAATGACTATACATATGCAGTACATGTAATCATAGGTGTAATCATAATCATGAATTAGTAATTGCCTAAACCCTGAATTAAGAATTAAGTACATGTATACGTTTCAAAAAAAATTATAAAAATGGAGAATTCCCTTCTTGTAATTCTTCTCAAAATACCCTGTGCTATAGTACAGGGCCTTCCACTGACAAGAAGCTGCATGAGCACTATGCCAAAATCCAGTGGGAAACCCTCAAGAACATATGCCCATCAAAGAGAACCTTCAAATGATACATTAACTTTTTCACTCACTTGTGGCAGAAATTGGCACTTGTTCTCCAGTTGTATATTCAAACTCTTCACAAGATCTTTCACCTTTTGAAAAAATAACATAATTTACATGTAAATTAATGTATATTGTACCATGTACAACAGTTTTAAACTTACATGTATATACAATGTATTAGCCCTTAAGTCATGCAAATTACATGCAGTTTTAAAATATACATGCTCTACATGTACTTATACATGTACTTAGTGCCATATCAGCTGACCATAATTATAGCTGCAGTATTTATTGCACAAATGCCTGGTCGG